TAATAGTGGATGAAAAATGGTAAGTTGTGAAAAAGTATATATGGAAAAACCGCGTTTGGAAAAAAACGGGCGATATAGAAAGTAAAAGATTGACTTAATGATGATAGAGTGGTGACTAACATGCCTTACGTAGAACAAAATAAGGCCATAGGGGATTCTTATACGATGAAATAGTTATAAGAGAGGCTACCGAAGCCAAAAATGCTTACATCTTAAAATCTATGATTTTGACCCGAGTGCAGACTTTCAGGAATGGGCTCTCGTGGCCTAGAGGTTAAGGTGTTCGCCTCTCATTCAAAGGTCCCGGTTCGAATCCGGGTAGTAACTGAACATTTTTTTCTCTAAAATTGTCTCCTTTCACCTCCTTTCCTGCTCTCCAACAGTGTTCTGTCGTCTGCTTTCGTATCCACTTTCTACCCCTACCCCCTCACCTCCATTCCCCCTTCCTCTGGGCTCCTGACTCTTCCTACAGCCTTTCTACTGCTAGTCCTTGGCTCCTTCTTACTGCTGTCTTTCAGCCACACTAAAAGAAAGAGACTTTCAGGATGTAACCCCCCAAAACTGATATGTATGTCACAAGGTGTTTCGATAGGAGGTCACTGGAATGTGTCCTTGACATTTTATAGACGAAGCGGACGCAATGTGTTCGAACACTGAATATTGCGGTACATCTCAAACCATCGTGCTCTAATCAGAAAGGTAAACTGAAATGTTTCATCGCATGCAAGTTGCTGTCTTCCTTTTTAAATTGCAGATGAAGGAAACAATATTGAAAAAGCTGTATGAATAACGAAGATATGTTTCTTATGTTAAATTGTTCAAAGCAGCGCGTGTTCAAGCGCTGTCAATCTTGTGATCACCGTCTGTCATTGAGCTGGACACATTATGTTGGTTCTATCCCTTGCTTTGTGCAATTTTAAACAGATGCGGTGGCACTAGGCAAACGTTAGTTTTTTTGTTTGTTTTTTTGTGCAGAATTATTACTTAGCTATTTTCTTAATGGTAAGTATTTCTACGGCAACCAAAGCCAGCTGCCAAAAATAGTTTGTTAAGCGTTTGTTGCTTGCTTGTTTATGAGGGGAGGGACACATAGAAAAAAAAGTATCATTTAATTTTGATGGATATGCATTCAAAAAGAAGTTGTAAGTGCTATAACTTAAAAATAAAGAACGATCAAAACGAATACAAGTTTTTGTTACCCATTATACAGTTTGGAAAAAATAAGCTTAGGCGCTTTAGAACTTGAACTACTACTACTACTACTACTACTACTACTACTACTACTACTACTACTACTACTACTACTACTACTACTACTACTACTACTACTAG